TTATTGTGTGTGTGTGTGTGTGTGTGTGTGTGTGTGTGTGTGTGTGTGTGTGTGTATTACAGCCTGTGTTTGGAGGTCAGAGGACAACTTGTGGGAGTAGGATCTCTTTTTTCATTATGTAGGTCCAGGGGATCGAAGTTGGGTTGTGTGTCAGACTTGTCAGCAAGCACCTTTACCTGCTGAGCCATCTCACTGGCCTCTGGATCCCTTCTTTTCAGCAAGAATTTGGTCTGGTACATATGAATAAGGAAGAAAGCTTAGGTCTGTGTTTGGAGGTCAGAGGACAACTTGTGGGAGTAGGATCTCTTTTTTCATTATGTAGGTCCAGGGGATCGAAGTTGGGTTGTGTGTCAGACTTGTCAGCAAGCACCTTTACCTGCTGAGCCATCTCACTGGCCTCTGGATCCCTTCTTTTCAGCAAGAATTTGGTCTGGTACATATGAATAAGGAAGAAAGCTTAGGTAGGACTTTATTCCATCAAAAAAGAACAGGGCGGGGGAGGGTCATCACTGGAGAGACAGCTCAGTGATTAAGAGCACTGGCTGCTCTTCCAGAGGACCTGGGTGCACTTCCCAGCACCCACATGGTGGCTAACAACCATCCATAACTCCAATTCCAGGGGAACCGACGCCCTCTTCTGACCTCCATGAGCACTGCACAACATGGGTGCACTTACAATGCAGGCAATACACTCATACACATAAAGTAAAAATAAATAATAAATATTTTTTAAAAAAAGAATTGGGGACTGGGTATGTAGCTCAGTTGATAGAATGCTTGCTTAGCACACCTGAATGCTATGTTCCACCTCCAGCACTACATAAACCTGCCATGGTAATGCATGCCTCTAATTCCAGCATTTGGGGACAGATGCAGGAGGAGCAGAAGTTTAAGATCATCCTTAGCTATGTAACTGAGTTTGAGGCTAGACTGGGATACATGAGACTTTGTCTAAAAGTTGATTTGTTGATTGGTTGATTGATTGATGACTTTAATTTAATTAAACTCAAGAATCATGATTGCCCAAATATGTTCATCCATTTGACGCCACATATATGCTGATATACATGGCAGCTCATTTAAAATTTTGAGACAGCCTCCAGGACAATATCAGGTGACATCTTCACAACTGTTACACCAATGAAAAGATAAACACCTGTCAGCTATGAATGAAAACTTGTCCTCTATTAGAAAGCTGCAGGAGATGAAGGAGGTGGCAGCAGGTAATAAGGCCAGCCCATGCTTCATAAGGAGACAGACCTGCTGCAATACATCTTTCCACACAGAGCAGTGATGTCATCCTAACACCAATACTAATGCTATATCTCCCTGGATTGTTGTAAGATGCCTAGCATGTAGCAGCTAAATAAATAGTCCTTCTCTTCTGGAGGTGAAGTATTGAATATGGGCCCAGAACTGGGCTACCATTTCAATGACACACATACAACTCTATCATTCAAATATCACAAAGAATTCCAAAGATCACTTATTCAAACTCTGTCAAAATTCCAGAAACATGTATTTCAGGAATAGAAAAAAATTAATTATAAAATTCATATGGAATCGAAGGGATCCCTTAAGAGACAAAGCAATTTTGGAAAAAACAAAACAAAACAAAACAAAACAAAGCTGGTGGACTTACACTCCCTGATTTCAAAAAGTATTGCAAATGTATAGAAGCCAAAACAGTGTGGTATTGGATAAAGGCAGGCTACAGGCTGATGCGATCGAGAGCTCAGAGATAAACCCTCACAATACATGGTCAAGGACATCAAGACCACTGACTGGGGAAACCAGTACCTTCAGTAGCGACGCTAGGAAAACTGAACAGCCATGTGCAAAATAAGGAAATTATATTCTCATCTAAAGTCGACTTCAGGGGCTGGAGAGACGGCTCAGCAGCTAAGAGCACTGGATGCTCTTCCAGAGGACCTCGTTTTAGATCCCAGCACCCTCATGGTGGCTAACAACCATTCATAACTCCAGTTTCAGGGGATTCGATGCCCTCTTCTGACCTCTTCAGGCATTGCATGACATGGGCGCACTTAGCACTTACCATACATACAGATAATACATTCATACACACAAAATAAAAATAAATAAATTTAAAAATTAACTTCAAATGAATTAAAGACCAAAAGGTAAGCCCTAAAAATATGAAACTCAGAAGAAAACACAGGAAAATCTTCATGATATTAGATTTAGCAAATTTTTGTGGCTTTTTTTTTCATGACATCAAAAGCTCAGAGCCAAGCCAAAAAAAAAGAGTAAAAAGTGAAAAATGGAACTATATCAAACTTAAAAACTTGTGTGACTCAAAGAATCTATAAGTAGAATGAGAAAGTAACCAATGGAATGGGAGAAAACATTTGTTAGTCATATATCAGATAAGTGAATAACAGAATATGTAAAGAGCTCTTATGATTTAACAATGTAACCTGATTACTAAATAAATTTAAGATGTCAAGGCAAAAGACTTGAGCAGACATATCCTAAATATGATCTACAAATAGCCAACAAGCATATGGAAATATTCTCAACATCATTAATCAATGGAGGCATGCTTTTCACCTCATGCTCATTAGGATAGCCACGGGGCAGTGGCGGGGGGGGGGGACGGAACAGAAAATAACAAGTGTTGGTGAGGCCATGGCAAAATTGGAACGCTTTTGTACTATTGATCATGTAATAGTGTAGCTGCTATGGCAAACACCAAAAACTAAAACTGAAAATAGAGCTAAGGATGATCTAACTGTTTTCCTTCTGGGTATATACCCAAAAGAATTGAAAAACAAGATCTCAAATATTTTCACACCTGTATTCATAGCATTATTCATAGTATCTATGAGCTCCATCCACAGATAAATGAGTAAATAAACCTTAGTATATACTTACAAGGGAGTATTACCCTTAAAAAATAAATAAAATTCTGATGAATGTTCCAACATAAACAATCCTTAAAAACATTGTGCAAATTGCAATAAGTCAATCAAAAAGGATAAGTAATGTGTGATTCCACTTATCTGGTGTATCTAAAATTGCTGAATTCACAGGAACAGAAAGCAGGATGAAGGGATTTGGGGGAGTTGATCAATGGGAACAGAATTTCAGTGTTGCAAGAGAGGAATGTTCCAGGGATTTGTTGCCCAACAATGTGAATATATTTAACACTCTTGAACTCTATACTTAAAATTGCTAAACTATAAATTTCGTGTGAAGTGGTTTACACCACATTAAAAAAGATCATTCAGCCCAATCTTTACAGATGATGAGCTCAAGTTCACAGAGGAACATCACACAGAAACTTTTTAGTTTGATTTTTAATGATTAGATTAGAAAGCTCCAATAAATTCTTCATAGTGAATGCACGTTATCATTTTTTAAAAGGGAAAGAAAATTCCATATTTTTAAGTTTTTATTTGTTATTTTTATTTTATGTGTATGCGTGTATTGCCTACATGTAGGTAAGTGCACCCGTGTCGTGAAATGCCCACGGAGGGCCAAAGAGGCTGTCGGATCCCCTGGAACTGGATTTACAGACAGTTGTTAGCTGCCATGTGGGTGTTGGGCTTCAAACCTGGGTCTTCTGCAAGAACAGCTAGTGTTCTTAACCACTCAGCCATCTCTCCAGCCCCGAAAATTCCATATTTTTAGGATGATGATTTCAACAAGAACTTTATAAGAGACTGATTTTTCTCACCTTCAAAAACTTTGCTTGGAGTTGCATTAGTACATCTATTCTTCTCCTTTCTTTGAGTTTGGTCAACATCTTCTTTTGCCAAGGATCATATTTTGGTTTGATCTAGGGGACAATCATGGTTTCACAAAGTTCCAGCCAAACAGAATGGGTCTCAACACATGTCACAACCAGTTTCAAGGACCCTGTGAGGTGGGATTTAGAGTCTGTGCTGGAAGGTTTGCTGGGGCATGTGAGGCAAGAGATCACAGAGCCCTGAAAGGAACCAGCAGTTTCTTTTGGCATCTGGCCTGTGGCATGCAGTAGTGTGACTATATAGTGCAGTCCACAAGCAGGAGGGGCCCTAGCACCTCAGCACTAGGCACTACATCTTACTGATGTTGCAGGAGACGGGGAAGGACTTCACATTTAAAATTTCATCTTCCCCATTAAGAAACTGGATTTCAAAACTTGGTTTTACCAGGCATGGTGATGCACACCTTTAATCCCAGCACTTGAGAAGCAGAAGCAGGTAGATCCCTGAGATGAGTTCCAGGCCAGCTGGGACTACAGGGAGACCCTGTCTCAAAATACAAAAGCAAACAAGTTTTGTGACTGTAAGTTCCACTAACATGCTGATAATTCTCAAGTTCGTGTCTCCTCTCAAATAAGCATGCCCAACCTGCAACTAGCAGGCTGCCTGTGGCCGTATGTGGTCAAGAATAGCTATGAATGCGGCCAAACACAAAATCAGAAACTTGCTTAAAACAAGATTATTTACAATTTTGGGGGTGACTCAGTTGCATGTTTCCCAATCACAAACTCTAGATGACAATGTTTTGTTGCAATGTCAAAGGTGGAACATGCCTGACTGTTCTGCACAACTACCTCTGTAATATCTAGTTTGGGGCTCAAATCTAAGACAGTCTTATTCGCCTACACTGACTGCCCTGAGCTCAAGTGCCTGATGGGCAAAAAATCTCTGACTCCTCTCTTTCTTTCAGCCCATTCTTCAGGATGAATTATGCTCAGGATGTCTATGTTTCTCCAAAATTCCTATGTTGAAACCTACCCTACTACGTGATGCTATTAGAAGGTGGAGCCCTTGTGACTACAATCTGCACCCTCATAAAAAAAATTCTGAAGGTTACTATGTCTCTCTTACCAAGTGAGGGTGTGGTGAGAAGCCAGCAGTCTGCAGTTTGGAAGTGTTCTTGTCAGAACCTAGCCATGCTGGCAGTCAGACTTACTCAGCCTCCAGCAATGCGAGAAACAAAATTCTGTTGCTTAGAAGCTATTCATTTTATGACATTTTGTCAATGCAGCCTGAATGGACAAACATATATAGAGAGGATATATATATATATATATTATAAGACTTTCTTCTCTGGGGTTGGAGAGATGGCTAAATAGTTAGGAGCATTTGCTACTCTCGCAGAGGATCTGGGTCATGGTCATTTATAGTTAGGCATGGTGTGGGAACAGTGGGCACATTCCCAGCCACGGCTGAATAGGGCAATATTCTGCCTCTCTGTCTTAAAGGCTACTAGAAACAAGTACTCCTTTTGTGGTCCATTTAGCACCAAAGTTATTGTTATTTTTGTTGGAGATTTCGCTTTTGAAAATGGTCCCTTAACAGAGTCTTAAAGTGCTGGCTATGTCCTAGGCACAAGAAAGCTGTGACATACCCTCCTGAGAACATGGTTGGTTAGACAAGCTTTATCTACCCAAGAACTACTGACCACGAACTCAATGTTAAGGAGTCAGTGACATATATTAAACTGGATGTCTTTAATCAAAAACACACATAAAGCAAGACTCTGGTGTTTGCTTTTGTTTTGTGAAACAAGGTCTCGCTCTGCAGCCCAAGCAGGCCTGGAATTCATTGTATAGCCCAGGCTGGTTTTGAACTCATGGCAGTCTTCGTACCTCAGCCTCTCAAGTGCTGAAATTATGAGCATCAGCCACCATACCTGGAAGAGGTCTGTATTAATTGATGCTTTGACCACAGATTCTCAGGCATCTGCTAAATGAATGTTCCTGGTTCTCTCTAGGATACAGATTGCTTGAATAATGAGAGTTGCCTGTAGTTCACACTAACTACTGTCATGGAATTTAATTTTGCTTAGGCACTGCCTATAAATCCTGCACATGGGGCTATGCCTAACATGGTAACTATCCTATCATAGTTTTAAACTAAAAGGGTTCGTTTTACACAGATTAGTTAAATTCCTGAGTATTATTCTTTGTTCTTGCTATGCATGTAAAATCATTAACAATGAAAAGGAAGCACTGGGCATGGTGGCACCCGCCTTTAGTCTCAGCACTTAGGAGGCAGAGGCAGGCTAGAGCTACAGGCCACCTGGGGCTACAAGGAAACCCTGTCTCAAAGAAGAAGAAGAAGAAGAAGAAGAAGAAGAAGAAGAAGAAGAAGAAGAAGAAGAAGAAGAAGAAGAAGAAGAAGAGGAGGAAGAAGAAGAAGAAGAAGAAGAAGAAGAAGAAGAAGAAGAAAGGAGGAGGAGGAGGAGGAGGGGGGGGGAAGAAGAAGAGAAGAGAAGAGAAGAAAAGAAAAGGAAAGAAAAAGATTGGAGCCTGGCATGATGAGGCATACCTATAATTCCAGCACTTGGGAGGCTGAAACAGGAAGATCGCCATGAGTTCAAGATGAGCCTGGGCTACCTTGTCTCAAAATTTAAGAAAAAAATTTTTTAACTGAGTATAATGGCACATACCTCTAACTCCAGCACTAAGGAGACAGGAGGACCAGAAATTCAAGGCCAGCCTTGGATACACAGTGAATTCAAGGCCATCTTTGGGTACAAAGAGAATTCAAAGCCAGCTTTGGATACATAGTGAATTCAAGGTCAGCCTTGGCTATACAATGAATTAAAGGCCAGTTTGGGCTACATAAAAACTCTTAAACATATTAAAAGAAAGAAAGGAAGAAATTTGGACCTGTACAGTGGAAGGTAACTGGGGGATCTTCCAGAGCAGGGAGCTGGTATCGCTTCCTTCACCACAAAGCTAGGGCAGGAAGAAAGCTGGGAAGTCCTGGTGCACAGGACCAAGCTTGTGAGTGACTCCCGAAGAAGAGCAGCATAGCCCCCGGACCTAGAGAACAGTTTTCTGAAGGTACTCAGGAGACGGAACAAAGGGACCAGAAAGACCTGCTGCTGCCGGCGTGTCTGCTCCGTGGGGAGAAATTTTTGACAGTGCTGACATCACTGGCAGGTGACTGTCACCACAGCCTCCTTACCTTCACAAAGGGGATCCAGGTAGCTCTCTTTTTTAGGGTCATAGCAGGTCCTGTGAAATCCACTTTAGCTGTCCCTGCCTCATAGTCTGGAAATGTCCGCATTCTTTGTTGCTCCGTGAAGATGCTTTGGAATTTTTGGGAAACCTAAACAAATCAAGATTAGAGAAGTAGGCCTTCCCACAATTCCCACCCAAGTGCAGTGGTTTACACAGCTGCAGGGTGCTGTATGTTACACAGCTGCAGGGTGGAGTGGTTTACACAGCTGCAGGGTGGAGTGGTTTACACAGCTGCAGGGTGCAGTGGTTTACACAGCTGCAGGGTGGAATGGTTTACACAGCTGCAGGGTGCAGTGGTTTACACAGCTTCAGGGTAGAGTGGTTTACACAGCTGCAGGGTAGAGTGGTTTACACAGCTGCAGGGTGCAGTGGTTTACACAGCTGCAGAGGGTGGAATTTTACACAGCTGCAGGGTGCAGTGGTTTACACAGCTGCAGGGTAGAGTGGTTTACACAGCTGCAGGGTAGAGTGGTTTACACAGCTGCAGTGTGCTATGTTATACAGCTGCAGGGTGCAGTGGTTTGCACAGCTCCAGTGTGCAGTGGTTTACACAGCTGCAGGGTGCAGTGGTTTGCACAGATGCAGGGTGCAGTGGTTTACACAGCTGCAGTGTGCAGTGTCTTACACAGCTGCAGGGTGAAGTGGTTTACACAGTTGCAGTGTGCAGTGCCTTACAGAGCTGCAGGGTGCAGTGGCTTACACAGCTGCAGGGTGCAGTGGCTTACACAGCTGCAGGGTGTAGTGGCTTACACAGCTGCAGGGTGCAGTGGCTTACACAGCTGCAGGATGCAGCTTCACAAAGCTGCAGCTTTTCTGAATTACTAAGGAAAGTATAATTTTCCTCCTCTTCTCTCTTCTAAGCATGCTTCCTTAGCACTTTGGATTTCACTCTTTTTCTGAAGCTCCCCTCCCAGCCATGCAGCCACTTGCCTGCCACATGGCTGACCTCCACGCCTAACTCAGTGTCATGGCTTTCTTCCTTCCTCTTCTCTGTCTCTCTCCTCTGGAAAGCTACAAAGATTTACAGCTTGCCTGCTTTAGGAGTTTTCCTTTAAACACTAATAAAATTGTCTTTGAGCTTCAAAGTAATAGGAGGAGGAGGAGGAGGAAGAAGGGGAGGAGGAAGAGGAAGAGGAGGAGGAAATGACTCAGTGTATAAAAGGGCTTGCTGCCCAAGTGTGAGGACCTGTGCTCTGGTTCCAGCACCTGTATAAAAAGCCAGGCATGGCCATGTGTACCTATAACCCCATCATTGCGTGGAGGGGGAGAAGGAAGAGGATGAGGGGAGAAGTAGAGCCCAGAAAAAAATGTCTCATATTGTATACGATTTCAAAAACAGCTACTATGGTCTTTGAAATAACCTCGGAGAGAAAATGACTCATAAAGAGGACTCCTCTATGAGAAAAAATAATGTATGTGGACACATCTGTGTGGCACATGCACTGAGTTCATAGCTGACCTTATCTGTGCTGAACGTCTGCTCCAAAGACTGGAAATACACTAACATGTTCACTTGTATGCATTTTGATTTGGACTTTAAATATAAACAGGAAGTAACTGTCCATCTCAACAAAAGTATTCACTTTTTATGACCACCTGGTAAACTAGAAAATCTAAGGGTTAAATACATCCTGCTCTCAGAAGCATCACTAAAACATTGCCAGGGATGGAGCATGGCAGCACATGCCTTTAATCCTGGCACTCGGAGGCCAGGGCAGTAGATCTCTGAGTTCAAGGCCATCCTGGTCCATATAGGAGTTCCAGGCCAGCTGGGAGGCCAGCCTGGTCTACATAGTGAGTTTCAGGCCAGTTGGGGCTATGGGGAGACCCTGTCTCAAAAAGACCAAAAAAATTTTTTTAATTAGTTAAATAAGTGTGAAGTTTTAGTTTCTCACTTGCACTAGTTATATTTCCAGTGCTCAACAGCCGAATGCCACTGGTAAACATACTGCACAGCATAGTCTCGGACAGACCTACCTAGCACCTAAATATAGACACACACACACACACACACACACACACACACATACACACCCCACTCACACACACAGAGGAATGTCACTGATCATCCAGGGAGCACAGTTGACATTCCCCAGAATACTTCTGTAAGAAAATTAGAAGTAGAAACTATCATCACGGAAAGGATGTGGCTGTTCTTTGGGAACAAGGCTGCTCTGTTGGAGTATTCAGCTGGCCTTACACTCTTTATCACTGGTGACATAAAAAGAAAGATGAACGTGCTGGGAATAGTGACATATTCCTGTAATCCCAGGACTTCAGGGGCTGAAGCAAGAGAATGAGTGTGTGGCTGGCCTGTGGGGGGAAAAAAAAAAGGGGGGAGATGGGGAGGAGGAAGGGGGGAGATGGGGAGGAGGAAGAGGGGATGACAGAGGGAGAGAGGGAAGAGTAGAAGAGGGGGAAGGAGGAGATTCTAAGAAGAGGAGGAAGACAAGCCAAAGCTAAGTGTCATTACCTTTCAGAAAGCCAGGGGAATGTGATAGCACTGGGGCCAGTGAGCTTAAAGAATGTGTTTTATAGACTAGTGTACTAATCCTGGTAAAATGATACTGGTGCAAACACAAAAGCAAGTGGAGCTTCAAGGTCAGGCACATGGTAACAGGCACATACTCTACCAACTGAGCTACATCCCCAGCACAGGCACAGAGTGCCAGGGCAGAGAGTGGCTACTTCCTATATCAAGAACTTTCAAAAACATTTAGACTAGATTTTTGCCTGTTTAGATCAGCCAATAGATTATCTAGCAAATATCTAGCAAATAATATGCAACCAGAGCTAGCAAGATAACTTATTGGTCGAAACTATTGTTGAAAAAAGCACCACTATAAATCTGAGGTTCTCTACCATGATCCCATTTTTTTCCTTTGAAACAAGTTTTAACATCACGTCTGATAAATAAGGTTTTCTGTTTAGGGAAGCGCAAGGCTGTGCTATGATGGCATAACTGTGCCCATCAGAATATGCTGCATACTTCGTGGGAAACAAGCTGTTTATTGGGTCAGGGAGAGTACTACAACCCGTTCTTAGACTCAGATTGCTAGAGACACTTGACAAGTCCGCCTGTCAAAGCTTGGGCACATTTGTATCTACTACTGCCATATCCTACTTTTTTCTTTAAATTCTATAGAAAAAAATGTAAAATTTCTCTGATTTCACTCTCAGAAGGTCCCATCATGCCTATGGAAAATGTCACTTACTACTATTGCTTGTTAGGACTCTAGAAACAAGTGTTGATTGTAAAAATATGCAACTTTATGCTGGGCATGCTAGCACAACCTGTAATCCTAATACTCTGGAGGTGGAGGTAGGGGTAGTAAAGGTCCGAGGTCATCCTCCCTTACAGAGCTATTTTGAGACCAGTCTGCTATATAAGATCTTGTCTCAAATAAATTAATAAATAAACAAATAGGCAACTTTGTGGTAAATATTAATGCTTTCTTTCAAACACCCATATTTGTCATAAGAGTGCATTCTGTACCAAGGAAAAGAGTTCCATCTCCTTCGCAGAGTCCCTCAGCTCCTGCAGGTCACACGAGACATGGAAATGGGAGAGCAGGTGCCTCAGCTGAGGTTTCAGCTCTTCTGGGTCTGTTGTGTGCTGGGGCAGGACAAAAGCAGCATCTTCTCTTACTGGCCCTGAAAAATATTTAAAATCAAGAGTATGAAGCCAGTGAGCACTTCAGGGAGAACCAGTAGGCTACCTTAGAGAGTGAAGGCCATTCTGCTCTCTCCTAACCTTCACTACTGAAATCTAGTCTGTATCACACTTGTCTGGGTATATCTGACAAACCCTTGGAGCTGGGCTTCCTTTGGGAAGGCAGCCTGCAGGAGAAACCCATCTTGGGGGGAACTCCCCTTGAGGGAATGTCTTGATGGAGCAGATCTGCCTGTGGTCCCACGGAATATGAATTGCGCTGCTTATAAACCAATCATCAAATTGAAAGAGTGATTCCATTTGCTTTTCCTTGATAACTCCCACTCAGCTTCCTTTCCAGAAGCCTCCCTGGGGTCCCACCACTGGGGTTGGCTGCCTTTCTGGTGGTGTTTCTGTGACCCTGCACGCAATGTCACTCAGAAGGGTATTCAAAGCAGAAACCTGATCAGACTTCTCAGTCTCTGTAACACAAAAAAGGGACAGAGACTGTGTGAAATTGTCTGATGAGAAAATTCCCATACAGCTGTGTAATATTAAACCTTAAAGGGCCCATGGAGATCATTTAATCTGAAAGGATTAGTATGGAAATGAGTAAACTGAGGCCCAAAGAGGTGACGTGCAGGACCACGTGAGACTATGGCGGAAACAGGCCTAGCACAAGTACACCTGGCCTCAAGTCTACTGATCCCTCTCTCTTAATTTGCTAGTTATAAAGATGGAGATAAAAATGTTTAAGCGAAATAATTATTTCCCCAGAGGAAATATAAATGTTAAATTAAAACTGTATTTACAACGATGTAACTTTTAAAAATTTAATTTCTTATTTTTATTTTATTTTATGTGTATGAATGTATAGCCTGCATGTAAGTATGCCTATGTCGCACAATGCCCTTGGAAGTCAGAAGAGGAAGGGCATCAGATCCCCTGGAACTGGAGTTATGATGGTTGCTAGCCACCATATGGGTATTAGGAATCAAATCCAAGTCTTCTGCAAGAGCAGCCAGTGCTTTTAACCACTGATCCAACAAAGATGTAACTTTTGGTATACAGAAAATGTTCTGGAATATCATGGGGCAAAACAAGCCATATACAAAAATCACACTTCTCCTTTCTCTAAGGTAAAGACCAGATTCTCACCTGAAATGCTGGTGTCCATAGGACCAGGAGATCTAGAGTCTTGGATGTCAGGGGTAATGTCATTGACACAGACCTTTTCATTTTCCTTACCACACTCAGGAACTTGGTTGTCAGCTAGACTCAGCACTTTCAAGATGGGCAAATACTGGAGGGCCTACAGAAGGAAAGAGCAAAAGAGCACATGTCAGCCCAATTTATACAGAAGCTGCAGCTTTTCAATGTGATAGACAGGGAGGGAGACAGAGGCAGAACCCTAGAAACATGCCTGATAGAAGGTGGGTTTGGGAAACCTAGCTGCTCCCAGCTCTGAGTCACCTTCACCTCCAGTCATTGGTCATGTGCACGAATAGAAAAGACACTGTGTGAGATACTCAGGATGTGAGAAGGAGGACAGGAACCACCTCGAAGAGCTCACGTTTAAGTGGAAGACCAAGGTTCAGGAGTGCATGTTTATAGCATCATATGACTGAGGAGAGAAAGAAGTACAGGTCACAGTGACAGGCTGGCTGTGAGGATGCGATGGAGTCAGGTGACAGAGGTTTCTGGAAATGTGGTCATGTTACTCCCTTGTGATCCTCTAACTTGCCTTGGGATCTCTCCCATGTGCCTCTCTGTACCCCATAGTTCTCTCGTTCTCTCTCTTTCTCTCTCCACCCTTTCTTTTTCTCTGGCAGCACTGGGGCTTTAACTCATGGCCTTGCCCATGCTATGTAAGCATTCTACCATAAGCTACATAATCAGTTCTTCTTGTTGCTTATTGATATGTTTTGTTTGTTTGTTTGTTTTTTGAGACAGGGTCTCCCAATAGCTCCAGTAGTCTGGAACTGTGTAGACCAGGCTGGCCTCCATCTCACAGAGATCCACCTGCTTCTGCCTCCTGAGTGCTGGGATCAAAGATGTGCCCCACCACACCTGGCTTCTTGTTGTTTTTTGAAACAAGGTTTCACTATGTCCTAGGGTATGGAGTCCAGGTTGGCTTCAGGAAATTCTCCTGACCCAGTCTCTGGGGTGTGGGATTATAGCAGCACACCAATGTCCAGCCCAGGCACTGCTCTCTTATCCCATCATATTGCAATTGAAATTTGTTTGCCCTTCCTCCTGCCAGCCTGGGACCCAGTTACTTTGCAGCAAAGGTGAAGCTGTGAGGCCAACACAAGTATCCAGGGGCTGGAGAAATGGCTCAGTGGTTAAGAGCAATGGCTGTTCTTCCAGAGTACCTGGGTTCAGTTCCCAGCACCCACATGGCAGCTAACAACCATCTGTAACTCCAGTTCCAGGATTTTTGACACCCTCTTCTGACCTCCGTGGGTACTGTATGACATGGGTACACTTATAGACATGCAGGCAATATACTTGTATTAGTTACTTTTCTGTTGCTGTGATAGAAACACTAACCAAAGCAACTTATAGAAGGAAGTTTATTTGAGCTTAGAGTTCCAGGGGAATTCCAGTCCATCATGGTGGGGAGGCAGGAGGCAGGAGGCAGGAGGCGGCTGAAGCAGAAGCAGAAAGCAGAACACTCACATCTTCAAGCAGGAAACAAGAGAGTGGCTTTTTTTTTGTCTTTATTTCTTTACTCATTTCTTCATCCACGCACGAGTGCCAAAAACACAGACAGCTCTGCTTATATGTGCGTACTCGTTACAGTTACAGCTGAATATTTATAGAACAGTGAATAATAATAAAGTGGCTAGAATATAGCAGCTCAGTAAAACATGAGCAAGATAGCATTAGCACCATTGTATGCCTTCTTGGGAGAACAAGTGTCTCCTGAGAAACTAGGGGAGTTCCGCCATTCCAGAGAGAACGCCTCAGTGAGCATTCTCGCATAAACTTTCTCACGAGACAAGGCTCTCCAGGCATACGTGCTCAAGGTTACAGCTTAATTCACCAAACATATTTCTTTTCCTCCAGTTTATCAGTTAATTTCATTGCATGGAAGAACCAAACAAGGAAAGGGGAATGCTCCTGCTCTTAAATACAATGTGATTTCTTTTTTAGAAGAAGCATTTCATTACAGCTTTAACATACTCAATAACAGTTTCCAGAGCAAAGATACATCTCTTCCAAAAGTGGCTATAAAATTGTTAGGTTCGCTGTTAGAGAGTGACTTTTGATCCGGCAAGGCGTAAGAACTCTTTAAGTCTGCTCCCAGTGACGTACTTCCTCCATCTTGGCCACACCTTCTAAAACCTCCCAAAACAGCACCACCAACTGGGAACAAAATGTTCAAATACTTGGAGCCTATAGGGGACATTCTCATTCAAACCATCACAATACTCATATACACAAAATAATAAACAATAAATAAAATATTAAGAAAAAAAGTATCCAGATACATAAGATCCTTATTTTAAAAAGCATGTCCAGCCTGGTGTAGTGGCACATGCTTTTAATCCCAACACTTGAGAGGCAGAGGTAAGTGGATCTCTATGAATTTGATGTCAGCCTGATCTACATAGTGAGTTTCAGGTTAGCCAGGGCTACATAGTGAAACCCTGTCTCAAAAAAAAAAAAAAAAAAAAAAAAAAAGTGTCTACATTGGAGACCACTCATCCTGAAGAAGGTGATGAAAGCAAGAATCTGGTAATTATGATATAGAGCATGAGAGGCATTTTTGAGAGAGCCAGATCAATGGAGCTACTTGAGAACATTGCCCCCCAAAGTACGGTGACCCATCATTTTCCAGCTCATTGTCAGACAGATGTAGTATAGAACCATGAGTCCCGAGCCAGGTGTGAGTGTGAGGAGTCTGTGCTGACCCTTCTTGGGAAGTCCCATGTGGTCACACAATGGTCTCACCTACCTGCAGGTAGTGGTGGATGGTCCTGAGAGAGTGCAGGTGACACACTAACCACCTTGTATAAATCATCAGGTCTTCCTGTGTCACTAGGTTCCGAGGATTGCTTTTTCCCATAAGGAAGTTTTCTCGAGCAACTGAGAGTCTTTCAGCTCTCTGAACTGCGTCATTGAACTCCTTCATAATGTAGCTGACTTGTTTCTGTTTAAGGGGAATACACAGACATGGCTGTTGGCAAGCCTTATATTCAGTATCATTTACTTGCAAGCATAGGGAAAATGCTATCTGGGGGCCAAATAAAGGACTCTTGGAATCCCAAAGTGCTTTTCTAATCCAGATTTGGTTGACAGAGGCAGTGAGGAAGAGCAACTTCATAGTCAGGGCATAAGGATGTTTGGTAAGAGTCATCTGTATCTGAGCTTCCTACCTATAGCAGAGGAGGCCAAGACTACAGGAAAAATGTATCTCCTCTCATGAAAAACTCCCTTCAAATCTCATTCTTAAAAGTAGAAATCTGGGGCTAGAGAAGTGGCTCAGGAGTTAAGAGTACTTGCTAATCTTCCAGAGGACCCAGGTTTGGTTCCCAGCGCCTACATGGTGGCTCTGTTGCCCTCTTCCAGCCTTCGAGGGCACTATAAACACACCAATAAACATACTGGCTGAAAACACTTACATAAATAAAAAGAAAGAAATCATTAGAAAAAAAAAAAAAGGAGGAATCTTTGCTAGGCGTAGTGGCACATGCCTTTATCCAAGAACTCAGGTGGCAGAGGGGCAGATATTTGTGGTTTCAAGGTCAATCTGGTATACATTGTACAATGAAAAAACAACAAGCTGATTTCAGTCAGCCAAGGCTACATAATGAGACTCTCGTCTAAAAAAAGAAAGTATCTTCTACTGACAGGATAAGTAATAAGTTCTTATCTTTAGCTGACTTTAAAACTTTAAACAACAGCAAGCTTACTTAGACCATGCTGTTTCATTACATATGTGTGTGTGTGTGTGTATGTATGTATGTATGTATGTATGTATATGTCAGAGAGATGGCTCAGTGGTTGAGAGTGCTTGCTGTTCTACTAGAGGACCCAAGTTTGGTTCCTAGTACCCATACCAGGCAACTTACAATGGCCTATAACTCCAGCTCAGGGGACCCTATGCACTCTTCTGGCCTCAGTGAGCACCGCACTCATCACACACACATAAATAATTAAAAATTTTGAATATATGCATATCTCACAGGTTCTGCTCTCAAGCTTCCTACCTTGTACAGAGGGTAGAGTTGCTCCATTGTCTCACTGTGCTGGCAAAACCGCTTCCACCTCAGCATGTGTAAATATTTACTCTGAACCAGCTGTGTAATTCTCTCTGTGTAATACTTTAATAACAACAAAAGTAAGCACTTAGCAGAATATAATTATAGTAGGAAGATTGAACATGGTTTTAAGAACTATGTTTGAAAAACATATTTTTCTACATGAACACCATAAAATTAAATCTGGCTCAATATCACTCAAATTTAAATAAAGATCAAGTAGATGTTTATAAATCTTTGCGATCTGCCGCCAAGTCAATTGATTATAAATTCATTTATCAGCTACTGAAAAATTTTAGCCCTGAAATTAGGATATTAAACTCTTTGAAGTCAAACTTGAAGCTTGTATTAAAAAGCTGAAATTATGGGACTAGAGAGATAGCTCAGCAATTAAGAGCACTTAGAGGACCCAGGTTTGGTCCCCACCATGCTGGCCAACAACCATCTGTAACTCTAGTTCCAGGGAATCCAATGCCCTTTTCTGACCTCGGAGGGTACTGCACGCATGTGGTATATTTACATATGTGCAGGGAAAACATTCATACACATAAAATAAGAGTAAATTAATGATCTTGAAATTACTGGGCTAGAGAAATAGTTCAAGAGTAAAGTGCTTTACTTGAAAGCCTGAAGACCTGAGCTCAATCTCCAGAATTCATCTTTAAAATAAAACCAGGTGTGGTGGCACAATCAAAATCTCAGCCATCATTGGAGAGGCAGACATGGGCAGATCCCGGGGGCTTGCTGACTAGTCAGTCTTCCCTACTTAGCAAATTCCAAGTGAGAAACCCTGCCTCAAAAACCAAGGTGGTTTTTGAGGCAGCACCTGAAAAACAACACCCAGGGTTTTCCTCTGAGTTCCATATATATACATGTATCCATATATAATACATGTGCATGCACACACAGACACACACATATGAAATTATGAGTCAAAACTGCAAAGTATATTATAAGTAAGATTATTGGGCCAGTGAGATGGCTCAGTGGGTAAAAGAGCCATATAAACCTGATGACCTGAGTTTGATTCCCAGGACCCACCCACATAGAGGTGGAAGAGGAGAACTCCACAAACATTGTCCTCTGGCCTCCACATGTGCATACCCATATACCCACATCATGCACACACACAATAATAAGAAAAGCAAGTAGTAAGATTATAGCTTTTAATAACAGATTGAAATCTCTGTTTATACTTAAAGTTAGTTAACTGTGGTGGTACACTTCTGTAAAACTAGCACTCATGAGGCTGAGCAGGAGGATGAGTTTAGGACAGTCACTTAGATGTCTTTTAAAAAAAAGTTAATTCCTTTGTTTTCACTCTGATAATAAAAATAACACTATTCCTGGGAGTGGTGGCGTACACCTCCCAGCATTCAGGAGATAAAGGCAAGTAGATTTCTGAGTCCCAGGCCAACCAGGGCTACATAGTCAGACTCTGTCTCAAAACCAAACCAAACAAAACACTGTCTATGAAGAAGTAACTAGAATGAGTTCCACTTACTCTCCCAGTATGAGTGGAGAGTTAGACAAAAATACATAAGGCAACTGCTTTCGACAACAGATGATGGAGTGCCTTGGTCCCTGAGAGAAGAGAAACAAGCTCTTCTTCTGTAGCAGAGAGGGAAAGGAAACTAAGCAGAGGTCTTCATTCAGAGTTAGGAGATAAAGCGAAACTGGAGGAATGCGATTAGTCTGTCGGGTGCAGCAGTAGAAAGGGGGAAGCTATGCTGATAGAAGCTTTGAAAACCTGCATAGAGATCGCTGTGGGTCTATTGTTGAGCACCTAGCCAAGCCGATGGAGGGTAAAACTCCACAGGGTTGTATAAATAACCTACTGGGGCCTGTAAGCGGAACAGAATTCTTACAGGACTGGGAGATGTTTAAGTTCCAATCAATCAGAGCAAAGGCTCTGCCTGCATACCAGAGACACTCATTGGTAACACTGGGGCTCTGGTAATAAGGACAGACTATGCCCAGAGCAAAGATTATGTTAAAGCCATACTAGCAATGTTTAGAAGCAAGCCTTGAAAGGATTAGGTTGATCTGTAACTTAGAGTTTACCAGAATAAATTCCAACACTCTCCAAGGAATAAAAATAAAAATCTGAATCCCTGCACTTGGGAGGCAGAGGTGGGTGGATTGAGGCCAGCCTGTCCAGGCCAGGGACACCCTGTCTCAAAAAAACAGAAAAAAAAATCTGGAACCCAGTAATGAAAATGAAGAAGTTGACATCTTTTAGCTTTCATTTATGAATTGTTAGACAGACAAAGGAGCAAGAAAGAATGACTTATGAACAGAAGGAAAGTTAGTGATGAGAAAAGAGACCTAGAAACGACAGAGGTGGCAAAATTAGATCTACTATAAATATGTTCAGCATGTTCAAAGACTGAAAGGAAAATGCGAACATAGCTAGGAGAGAGATGGAACGTCTAAACAAGAGCCAAATGGACTGTCTAGAAATTAATACATACTTGCAATGAAAACTTGAACAGACTGTGTTAAAAGCAGATCAAACACTGCATGAGAAGAGTTGGTAAGCTTGAGACACAGCAACAGGAGCTACTCAAAGTGAAGCTCCAAGGGACAGGCTAGAAGACAAAAAGAGGGAGGAGGAAGACAAGAAAAAGGAGAAAAGGCAGAAGAAGTGGAAGAATTAAAGATAAACAAGAAAGGAGGATGAGGAGAAGGAGGAGGAGGAGGAGGAGGAGAAGGGAGAAGGGGAAGGAGGAGGAGTAGGAAGAGGAGGAGGAGGAGAAGGGAGAAGGGGAAGGAGGAGGAGGAGGAGGAAAGAGGAGGAGGAAGAGGAAGGGGAGGAGGAAGAGGGGGGAGCGTGAGGAGGAAGAGGAAGGAGGAAGATTAGGAAAAGAGGAGGAGAAGGGAGAAGGGGAAGGAGGAGGAGGAAGAGGAGGAGAAGGGAGAAAGGAAAGGATGAGGAGGAGGAGGAAGAGGAGAAGGGAGAAGGGGAAGGAGGAGGAGGAGAAGGGAGAAGGGGAAGGAGGGGGAGGAGGAGGAGGAGGAGGGAGAAGGGGAAGGAGGAGGAGGAGGAAGAGGAGGAGGAGGAGAAGGGAGAAGGGGAAGGATGAGGAGGAGGAGGAGGAAAAGGAGGAGGAGGATGGGGAGGAGGAGGAGGAAGAGGAAGGGGAGAGGAAGAGGAGGAGAGAGGGGAGGAGGAAAGGGAGGAGGAAAGAGAGAGGAAGAGGAGGAGGAGGGAGGTTTACCAGGCTCATGAATCTGACAAGAAGCTTAGAAGATGCACAGGCCTCTCCCCAAGGATATGAGGGCAGTCACAATTATTAGAGGTAGAAGAGACTCTGCCAGAACTACCCACAAGCTGGAAATGTGATTCCAAAGTGTTGTCACCCACGCTGGGGTGGGCTTTTCAGTGAAGGCAGCTGCTGAGTCTCCATAATCCTCACCCAAGGAGGAGGAGGGAGAAGGGGAAGGAGGAGGAGGAGGAGGGAGAAGGGGAAGGAGGAGGAGGAGGAAGAGGAGGAGGAGACATGAAAAGGAAAATGAAAAAGGGAAAAAAAACAGAAGAGTAGAAAAAAATATCACCAAGAAGTCACACAAACGAGAGGAAAGCATCCATTCATCTTCATCAGGAAGCCTGGGAATGACATCAGTAAGAAAGTAACTTCAGGTTCTGGAGAGATGACTCTGGATCTGAGCACTGGCTGCTCTTGCAGAGGACTTGGGTTCAGTTCCCAACACCCACATGGCAACCAACAACCATCTGTAACTCCAGTTCCAGGAGATCTGTCGCCCTCTTTAGGCTTCCACCAGCACCAGGCACATGTATGATGCACCTTCAGATATGTAGGCAAAATACTCATACACATAAAATAAACAAATCTTTAAAAAAAAAAAAAGGTGGAGGTTGGAGAGATGGCTCAGTGGTTAAGAGCACTAGCTGCTCTTGCAGAGGACCTGGTTCAATTCCCAGCATCCACATGGTAGTTAACAACTGTCTGAAACTCTAGTTCCAGGGAATCCAATGACCTCTTCTGACCTACGAGGGTATTGTACAACACAGGTGCACTTACATGCAGGCAATATACTCATACACATAAAATAAAAATAATAAATTTTAAAAAAATAAGGAAGGAACTCATTGCTAAATCCAAAATGGTCCAGATAAGTTCAAAGAAAATAGTGCTTTTGTTGAGAAACTAAAAAACTATTCAAAACAACAGAGAGCTTCTTGCCCATGATTTTAATGTCTCAAATTTAAGCAGACACATAGCTTCCACTGTGGAAATGAAACTAAAGCTCTCCAGCATGAATGTGTGCCTGATGTGCTCTTTCACCAGTGCTTTACTGACTCTGTTTCCCACTTCCACAGGCCTGGAAAAGGCATTTTGAAGCAAGGAAAGAAAAGAAAACCTTCAACCTCTCAGGCTTAAAACTGACTTATGTCTCCTCCCAGGACTAGCAATAGTTGGGAGTTTCATTAGAAGGAAGGTTTTTATTCGCTCTATAAATAGCTAAAAAATATTAAGGCTAGGTGGGAGAGGTGCTTGCTGCCAAGCTTGACAACCTGAGTTCAATCCCAGGACCCACGTGGTAGAAGGAGAAAACACTCCCACAAGCCGTCCTCTGACTTCCATGTAAGTTTTGTGGCACATGTTCATGAGTGCATGCACGTGTGCATGTGCGCTCCCCCCACCCACACACTAAATGTTATCTAAGTTTTTTTTAAATATTAAGGCTAAGAAGCCTCCAGCTGTGTTCCTGTGGCTACCAGTTTCTGTCACCACTGTGGAGATGATATGAACCAACTAAAAAGAGAGCTATGGGAAATTTTGAGATTTCTCTCCAGTGAGATGATCAGTTCATCAATCAATTCGGCCTTTGCAGGATCTTCTAAAAGAGTCCTTTACATCTTTGAAAGGAGACCACAGGGAGGGCCAGAATACTAAGAGATAAACAGGTGATTTTGAAATGTTCTTCAGAACTGATCATTTATTTGAAACTCTTATTTTAAAATGTTGGAATTCTCCATGCCGCCAAAAGAACTTACTGAAAATGGCTCCTTACAGTTCAAAATCCCAAAGCTATAG